TATTTTTTTTTTTTAATTTTAATTTTATTTTATTTTTATCCAGACTGAATAATAACACCATCATTCATTTATACAGAAGGAACTGTCATTCCCACTGCAAATATTTTTTATTTTTTTATTTATATTTTTCATTCATAGTTTTTGTTTTTTCACATTGATAAATTAATTTATTTTATATATTTACACAAATCATATATTTTGTATATAATTAATTGATGTAATTATTTGATTATCGGTGGTACACTTATGAATTCATTATATCACATAAGGTAGAATATATTGGAGCGCGGTGAACACTACTGGCATTCGTGAACATTTTTAGTGACAGCAGGGTTAGCTGAACGTTTTTTTGATATAAGATATGTGTAGGTGGGCTTGAAAATGAAAGAGTGATGGCAGTTTTACAAATCATGTTCTGATTTTTCCTTCCACACTGCAGCTTTCTCACTTCTCACTCTAATGTGACTCAGCTGCCCCCTGAGTGACCTTTGGTTGCACCTGTGACTCTGTCAGTCACAGGTGTGTGAGAAGCTCTGCTCTAAACACACTGCTCAAACTTGCCAAATTCACTGGCGATTGCCATCTTCAAACGCTTGTAGTTTTAAAAGTATAAATGCTACCGTGAAAAGGTTTATACTGTGACAATCACAAGAAACAGACCTAAAAATTTTGATATATATAGTATGTCTCTGCAATATTAAAAATGAAGGCACAGTCGCAGTTTAAAAACGTCCCTTAACATTTCAGGTGTCTGTGAGTGAAGTTTCAATGAAAGTCAATGGGAGGGGTGAGGTGCAAACAAATGGTCATATTCTGAAAACTATCAGGAGTATGTCCTAGCCGTGAACATTTTTAGTGACAGCAGGGTTAGCTGAACGTTTTGATATAAGATATGTGTAGGTGGGCTTGAAAATGACATAGTTATGGCAGTTTACAAATCATGTTCTGATTTTTTCCTTTCACACTGTAGCTTTCTCACTCTAATGTGACTCAGCTGCCCCCTGAGTGACCTTTGCTTGCACCTGTTACCTCAGTCAGTCACAGTGTGTGTGAGGAGCTCTGCTCTAAACAGGCTATTTAAACTTGCCAAGTTCACTGGCGATTGCCATTTTCAAACGCTTGTAGTTTTAAAAGTATAAATGCTACCGTGAAAAGGTTTATATTGTGACAATCACAAGAAACAGACCTAAATTTTGATGTATAGTATGTCTCTGAAAGATAAAAAATGAAGGCACAGTCGCAGTTTAAAAACGTCCCTTAAAATTTCTTGTGTCTAAAGTGGAGTTTCAATGAAAGTCAATGGGAGGGATGAGGTCCAAACAAATGGTCATATTCTGAAAACTATCAGGAATATGGTTAGCTGTGAACATTTTTAGTGACAGCAGGGTTAGCTGAACGTTTTGATATAAGATATGTGTAGGTGGGCTTGAAAATGAAAGAGTGATGGCAGTTTACAAATCATGTTCTGATTTTTCTGATTTTTCCTTTACACACTCTAGCTGTGCTGTGCTGCTCAATGCATTCCTATGGGAAAAATTTCGCCGCAAAAACCGCGATATTTCTTGAACGATTTGGCGAAACGTTCCACAAAGTAATAGCAATCCGATCGGGAACAATCCGCACGTTTTGATATATTACTTGTATTTGTAGTGTAAAAACTGTGGGAGGAGTTAGCGTGTGGCAAATATGGCTATAATAAGAATAAGAATAAGAATATATATGTGAGATAACAATAAGTGTTCCTTGCTATGCAAGAACACTTAATAAGAATATATATGTGAGATAACAATAAGTGTTCCTTTAACTTTAAAAGTATTAATATTACAATGTGAATACAGAATGTTACCAATACAAAGAAAGACTAAAAGAAAGAAATAGTTACAGGAAAAAGACAGAGCACGGGTGATACATTACAGACATCCTGATGTTTTGAGGTCTGGGCTCCGGGGGAAAAGGGCAGAAGGGACACAGAGGCAGACCTTTATACCCCCTCCTTTCCAGGTAGTCCCACCCTTCAATAGGTTCCAGTATTTCTGATCAAAGGGGGCTCTGTGATTTGTGAAAAACTTTGGCCAACTGTAGTTCATCAGATGGAATTTAGGATAGGCCAATGTCCCAGCGAAGCGTGTGTGTGTGTGTATATATATATAATATATATATAATATATATATATTATATAATATATATATATATATATAGTTGCCTTGGAAAACTGTTGGTAACTGCATTAAAACACAAAAATATTGCAAAAATTGCAGCAGTTACTTGACAATACACAAGTCCTCCACCATACTAGTAATCAACAGTATATTTGCAGGTCAGGTACACAAAAATGGAGAGTAAAAAGAAATTGAAAAAAACTTTTAGACTTTAGATAAACCTGACTGCATTTTATTACTCCAATTTAGAGGCTTTTCCCTAAAACAAAACCAAACCAAAAAAAAATTAAAAGGGGAAAAAAGAAACAGAACATCACGCGTTTCCTTTTTCTTTAACTTTATGTTGTTTTAGAGTCCTCTCTTGAATGTGCAAATTTCTTTTGGGTTTGTCTGGGTCGGATCAGGTTCTTCAGAGAGCAGTTTCTGAATTAATGGCCTCTCTGTTTCTCAATAGGAGATACCTCATTGAGGTACACCTTCTAATAAGTTTTTGTGTTCATTTTCCTGATGGTGATGCACATTATTAATTGCATCAGGAAGAGCAACAGGGTTACACAAATCAGATGAAGAGGGTGGAGTAAGATGTTTAGGAAAGCTGTACCCGAAAAAACTCACCAGCATATCTTAGCATTTCTCTAATGTGTGTGTTACTTGGATTAATCGACTTTGATCCAAAGATAACACCTAAGTCGACCACTCCACTCCTCCTAAGACATCCTGATCTCCAGCTCCCTTGTTACCTCCTCCCATGCTCATCATCAGGACTGCTCCAGAACCTCTGGAACTCCCCTCCCCAGTATGTCCTACCCTGTTCACCACTAGGTAATCCTAGAAAATTAATTTATTTAGGGGAACCTCATCTGCCTCCACCTAAAAACTATACCTCAGCCAGCTCCATCAGACCATTCTCCCGCAGCTATTACTTTTCGTACTAAACAATATAGTAGTGTGACCAGAGCACCCCTACCTAGAAAAAGGAGGTTACTGAATGATCCACGCGGAGTAATATGGGTACAAAAATTACAAACAATATTTTATTTGATCACATAGATCATAAGGAGGTTAAACATGAGCACGGTGAACATGTCAAACAGATAAAATCATTTTTAAAAACACTTAGCGTCTTCATTTCAGGGTCATTTTGGCAAGTAGAGTACCATATAAGGCAATATAGGGTAATGGTGTGGCTTGATCCTAGGTTTCCATAAATCTCCAACTTGTATTAGAATGAACCATATATTCTGCAGATATGTTCTCAATATGAGCCAGGATGTGTAGAGTAGCCTCCTGGTGTGTAGAAACTGGAACATAAAAATAAAAATAGATATATATGAAGATATGGGAGCTGAATCGCACCTAAGCCACACCAAACCTCCCTATACAGTAGTCAGTGGACACTTTCATTACCTTCTCAGTTGTAAGGCTGTCATACCCGCTTCTCAAATGTGGGGACTTCCTGGGTAACCACCCCAAGTGAAACAAAGTCCACAGTACCAAATGATTCTGGGGATATATATAAAGATTATTGTATAGATCACAGGCATCAAGTAAAACCCTGAAAACAGAGACAAAATATAGGTATATTACCATCAATAAAGATCAAGAAGACTCCCGTCGACTTGAAATAGGATCAGGTCCTTGATGCTTGTTCAAAGGTGCATATGGGGGTGGGAAGCCAGGTAGTCACAATGCGTGAATTCCAAACACATATATTATGTATGTAGCAGGCCGTGAGTACCTGAGTCTATATACCCAATAAAGGGTTTCCAAAAATTACTCAATCTGAGAAAGATGAAGCGGTTTAAATAGGATATAGCTTTGTCACAGCATACAATGCCTAAGTAGGATAGCGTATATATGTATATACATTATCCTCTGAAGAGGATTTCCAAAAAATTCCCCAAAAATGCAGGGTAAATTAGGCCCATATGACATACCCTCTTAACTCCATATATGCTCTATGAATCTAAACAGCAGTGAGCTAAAATAACTTGCCACCGGTGGAAGGTATATTCCCATAGGGGATTGCCGTTTGCGAACCGCTGTAATAGTAGCCTTATGCTGGTTTTCAGAGGGCCTCGTGCCTTCCTAGCAAGGAGCTGTGACACCGCCGTTCCTTCCCACCTCGTGGGCGCCGCACCCTATGAAGATGCCGAGCGTAGTGACGTCATTACGTTGCCGCGTTTCGTCCGCCAATCACCGCAGACTTCGTCACCGGCAAGGAGGTGGAGCTTGGAGAGGAGGGGCCGAGCGGCACCGAGAAGATCGAGCGAGTGAAGAGGAGGAGAGCGGCCGGAGAAGGAAGACAGCTGACAGGTAAGTGTCGGTACCATGGGAGAGGGAGGGAGCGAGCGAGCCCAGGCTGGAGCAGGGGTCTGCAAGGTAAGTATCACTGGTGTCAGTGGGAATAGTGGCCCATCATTGGTGTCACTAATACCAATGATGGGGCACTATTCCTCCCACTGACACCAATGATGGGGCACTATTCCTCCCACTGACACCAATGATGGGGCACTATTCCTCCACTGACACCAACGATGGGGCACTATTCCTCCCCCCCACTGACACCAACAATGATGCACTATTCCTCCCCCACTGACGCCAAGGATGGGGCACGATTCCTCCCCCCACTGACACCAAGGATGGGGCACGATTCCTCCCCCCACTGACACCAAGGATGGGGCACGATTCCTCCCCCCACTGACACCAACGATGGGGCACAATTCCTCCCCCCACTGACACCAAGTGAGGATGACACGAACCAAGGGGCACAATTCCTCCCCCCACTGACACCAAGGATGGGGCACTATTCCTCCCCCCACTGACACCAAGGATGGGGCACTATTCCTACCCCCCACTGACACCAAGGATGGGGCACTATTCCTCCCCCCACTGACACTAAGGATGGGGCACTATTCCTCCCCCCACTGACACCAAGGATGGGGCACTATTCCTCCCCCCACTGACACCAAGGATGGGGCACTATTCCTCCCCCCACTGACACCAATGATGGGCACTATTCCTCCCCCCCACTGACACCAATGATGGGGCACTATTCCTCCCCCCACTGAACAATGACACTATGATGGGGCACTATTCCTCCCCCCACTGACACCAAGGATGGGGCACTATTCCTCCCCCACTGACACCAAGGATGGGCACTATTCCTCCACCCACTGATACCAATGATGGGGCACTTCTTCCCCCCACTGACACCAATGATGGGGCACTATTCCCCCCACTGACACCTATGATGGGGGGCACTTTCTTCCTCCCACTGACAACCTATGATGGGGCACTATTCCTCCTACTGATACCGATGATGAGGCACTATTCCTCCCACTGATACCGATGATGAGGCACTATTCCTCCCACTGATACCAATGATGAGGCACTATTCCTCCCACTGATACCAATGATGAGGCACTATTCCTCCCACTGATACCAATGACGAGGCACTATTCTCCCACTGACACCAATGACGGGGCACTATTTCTCCCACTGACACCAATGACGGGGCACTATTCCTCCCACTGACACCAATGACGGGGCACTATTCCTCCCACTGACACCAATGACGGGGGCACTATTCCTACCACTGATACCAATGACGGGGCACTATTCCCCCCACTGACACCTATGACGGGGCACAATTCCCCCCCCCCACTGACACCAATGACGGGGCACTATTCCTCCTCCCACTGACACCTATGACGGGGCACTATTCCTCCTCCCACTGACACCTATGATGGGGCACTATTCCTCCCACTGATACCAATGATGAGGCACTATTCCTCCCACTGATACCAATGATCGGGCACTATTCCTCCCACTGACACCAATGATGGGACACTATTCCTCACACTGACACCAATGATGGGGCACTATTCCTCCCATTGATACCAATGATGGGGCACCATTCCTCCTGCCACTGATACCAATGATGGGGCACTATTCCTCCTCCACTGATACCAATGATGGGGCACTATTTCCTCCTCCCACTGACATCAATGATGGGGCACTATTCCTCCTCCCACTGACATCAATGATGGGGCACTATTCCTCCCACTGATTACCAATGACGGGGGCACTATTCCTCCCACTGACACCAATGACGGGGCACTATTCCTACCACTGATACCAATGACGGGGCACTATTCCTCCCACTGATACCCAATGACGGGGCACTATTCCTCCCACTGACACCAATGACGCGGCACTATTCCTCCCACTGACACTAATGACGGGGGGCACTATCCTCCCCCACTGACACCAATGACGGGGGCACTATTCCTCCCACTGACACCAATGACGGGGCACTATTCCTCCCACTGACACCAATGAAGGGGGCACTATTCCTCCCACTGACACCAATGACGGGGCACTATTTCTCCCCTGATACTGACGGGGCACTATTCCTACCACTGATAATGACGGGGCACTATTCCTCCCACTGATACCAATGACGGGGGCACTAGTCCTCCCACTGACACCAATGAAGGGGGGCACCAATGACGGGGGCACTATTCCTCCACTGACACCAATGACGGGGCACTATTCCTCCCACTGACACCAATGACGGGGCACTATTCCTCCCACTGACACCAATGACGGGGCACTATTCCTCCCACTGACACCAATGACGGGGCACTATTCCTCCCACTGACACCAATGACGGGGCGCTATTCCTCCCACTGACACCAATGACACCAATGGGGGCACTATTCCTCCCACTGACACCAATGACGGGGCACTATTCCTCCCACTGACACCAATGACGGGGCACTATTCCTCCCCACTGATACCAATGATGGGGCACTATTCCTCCCACTGACACCAATGACGTGGCACTATTCCTCCTACTGCAAAATTACAGTTATGAAGTAGCAACGAAAATAATTTTATGTTGGGGGTCACCACAACATGAGGAACTGTATTAAGGGGTCGCGGCGTTAGAAAGGTTGAGAACCACTGCTCTAGACAAACATTACAGTTACCTTCAGACAACACAACATAGATTCCATAAACACACTCTTACAATTTGTTATCTTAAAGAGACAAACTCTAGATACCATTAATACCAGCATGTCTTCTCCAATAACCTGGACTATTTTGGAAGTTTGAGATTCCTTTAATGATTCCTCCTGTTTCAGTTGTTTATTCTCAGCCTGTATAGATGCATTCTCTCCCTTCATATGCTGGAATCTAGGCCGTTCATACTTATTACACCTCGGCCATGTTCATTGTCCTATATGGATTTTGTTTCACTACCTCTCCAGCAAAAGCGGATCGACAAAATCGTGCAATGTGGCAAATATTCCACATGCATAACATTTGATCTTATCTAAGGTGGTAGGGCATCTATTATCTAGAGGCTTTGTTTTAGACTGAGAATATTTGGTGACTGACACCTGATTAGAAACTTTTTCTGGCTGCCTACAAGATGAAGGGGCAGCTATACAATCGCTCTTACCACCCAGAGATTTACAGATATTGTCACATACAGGAGGGCGGATGATTTCCCACTGAGTTCACAAATACTTAAACCAGTCTTTTTATCATCTACTCTAACAGGAAAATGAGCAAGCCGCTTCTGACAGTCGACAGAAAATTGATTCAATTCACTTTCTGCGTTCTTCAATCTTTCTAATAACTGATCAATTTCCTCCTGTAATCCTTTATCTCTTGTTAGCTGTTGGTGGCTAGCATCAGAATTGAAATTTTTTAACTACTCGGGTCACTTTTTGATATTTCAGGAGCTTCCTTTAGTGATTTGTTTTGCAACTTCAGATGTTCATATTCCTTAGCCATCCAACAGGCAGCAAAGATCAGTGGAGTCTTTCCCACACGCTTACTATAACTTTTCCCACTAGGCTTTGATTTTGTATCTTCTTCTAACTCCAGTCTGGCCTTTCCCTGACTAACTTCTCTGTTTTCCTCATTCTTTTCCTGTTCCTCATAGTCTTTTGGCCTTATCTTGTGGCTCTCCCTTTTCATCAACTGCTGATAACAGTCCATATCAGTGCTTGAGAATTCCACTGGCAAGGACTGGGTAACTGCATAAGGCCCCAGTGCTGACGATTGCTCATTGTCCCCCTGTTCATCATTACCACAAATCTGGGGTTTAGACTTTTGTGACTGTTCCTTCATACTTTCAGGTGTTGTTTGGAATGATTTCTCTTTAGATTCCATATTAAAAACATTCCCTGCCTCCCTACTCATTGACTCTTAACAGCCATATGCTCCAAGCACGGATCCTACGTTTTTTTTCACTGCCCCTTAAGGGTTCAGTCAGATCCCTTTCATTCACACTCACACCCTGCTGCAATAGGCGCAACCCAGCAGGTAGGATGTTTTCTCATACACTCTCAGTACAATTTTATTTCAATTATACTGTTCATAACCAGTCTCATCAAAATATTAGTAAAGACAAAAGGTAAAAATGACATTCGATAAAGCCTACTAGTCTAGGTATTTCAGACAGAAATGGAAGATAGACATGAAAACAAAGAAAGATGTAAATAGTTATCTATTCCACACAAGAAGTAACATTTACCTAAACATTCAGACTTCCTCACCAAGGGGCACCATTTGTTTTGGCTGTTTTGCCACCACACATATTTACTTGGTTTGATCGAAGATTATAAATGTAATAAGTGACTACAACCTTTTGTCTATACATGAATTTAGCCAGTCCTCATGTGGCTATTACCAATAATGTCAATAGCAAAGGAAAAACAACTGTGCAAAAATAAAGATCTAATTTATTTACACAGCAAAGAAGCTGACTACTAATCAATTATGACAAAATAAATAGTAGCCTGTATAACTTTAAAAGTATTAATATTACAATGTGAATACAGAATGTTACCAATACAAAGAAAGACTAAAAGAAAGAAATAGTTACAGGAAAAAGACAGAGCACGGGTGATGCATTACAAACATCCTGATGTTTTGAGGACTAAGCTCCGGGGAAAAAGGGCAGAAGGGACACAGAGGCAGACCTTTATACCCCCTCCCCCCTCCCTTCCAGGTAGTCCCACCCTTCAATAGGTTCCAGTATTTCTGTTCAAAGGGGGCTCTGTGATTTGTGAAAAACATTGGCCAACTGTAGTTCATCAGATGGAATTTAGGATAGGCCATTGTCCAGTGAAGCATACCTCCTTTGAAACACAGGAAACTCCCTAGGAGGTGTTAGAAATGACAACTTCAGGACTTATGCAGCCAGGATTTCCCTACTGTCATAAACTTCTACAGGAAACCTTCACGGGGGGGGGGGGGGGGGGGGGGGGGGGGGGGGGGGGGGGGGGGGGGGGGTGTTGAGGTGATACAACAGATGGTAAATAAGTTACAGGAATTGAGACCCCTATCAGAAGTTCACAATAATATTAAAAATTATTGTAGGCCCAAGAAGGTGAAAATTATTATAGGCCCAAAATAGCCATCACAGTGAGGGCATACAACAGCTAGTGTATCAAATATATCTGATTTCCGAGCCACAGAGTGGTCAAAGGTAAACCTGACCAATAAGCCATCTTTAAGGTGTCTGTCATAAAAGTCTTGGTATAGCAAGTCACTTGTGCCCCAGCATCCAGAAAAGCCCTCCACCTGGATTGGCATGATGGGAGAAGGTCCCGCTAGTTTGTCAGGGAATTTACAAGGAATAGTGGGGGTAGTCTGTCCTGTTGTCTGTATTCATACCCCCTTCTTGAGAGGCTTCTGGTTTTGTTTGTGTCTTGATTGGGCCCCAGAGGGTTGGTGTGAACTGATTTTCTAAGGCTGGTTACCTAAGGTCGAGGAGAGCAGGCCTGGACTGGTTGCTCAGAAACAACATTAAGACCTCTCTGCGAGGGTTTGTGCTTTCACTGTGTTTTCCTTGAATCTTTGACTTTGGAGCTAACTGCTGTAGATGGGTACCTCTGTGGCTCCTTCACCGGCGCCCTGTGAAGTTTCCTGCTGATGGCGTTCAGACTTTGGCGGGCTTGGGCAATCACGTTGGTAATGTCCCACTCCTCTGCAGATGGGCAAACGCTATACCCCAACATAGCAAGGTAATCCTAGGCGGTGCAGGTGACTGAACTTGAGGTTTATGATAGCTTCCACAGTAGCTCCTCTCAAATTCTCATTGGTATGCTGTTTCATTTATTATTATTATTATTATTATTATTATAATACAGTATTTATAAAGCGCCAATAGTTCGCTCAGCGCTGTACATTACAAAGGGGACAGAACATGTGACAGAACAACAACAATACAATGCAAAACATGAGGGGATCAAGGCCCTGCTCTTTCGAGCTTACAATCTAGGAGGGAGGGGATGGTGGCACAGGAGGAGATAGCTGTGGGGGATGGGGTGGTAGGAAGAGTGAAGGAGGTTGGCAAGTTAGCAGGGGGTGGGGTAGGTTTCCCTGAAGAGGTGGGTTTTCAGGGTGCGCCTAAAAGGGAGGAGAGTAGGTGATAATCTGATGGGCTTCTGGCACATCCCACTCTTCCAGGGCCTGCATGGCATGTCCAACCAGGTTTCATGCTCTTGGTTTTCCAAGAAGGCTCTTAGTTTTTGATACGTGACCCCAGTGTATGTTGGGATTTTTTGGGCATTTCGCCACAAAATCTCATAAGGCTGCTATGAATTTTGGCCCAATCATGGCTACAGGCAATGATAAGGTAGCTTCTTCTGGTGGGGCTACTTGACTTGGGCTCATATCTTTTTTTTTTTTTTTTTTTTTTTTATTATAAATATTTATTAATTTATCAGTTCAAATACAAATCACATTGACATTTCTATTAAAATAATATTCAAACACTATCTTCCAATTTGCATAATTTATTTAAATCACTCCCCTCCACCCTCCCTCCTTCCCCCCCCCCCCACACACCTCAATCTCCCACTCCCCTCCCGCCTCCCCTTCCTTTTCCACTCTACGTTTTCTCTCTTCTCCTTTACACCATACATTTCTATTATTTCTAAATCCATTTCTAGGGGTATTATATCTTCATATATTTCACTTTTTCTCTATACTCTTCCCATTTTTTCCATTTTGTATTGTACACCTCCATCTTATCTATATGCATGTAATACAATTTTTCTGTCCCATAGATCTGATTTGTTCATCTCATCCAATCCTCCTCAGTTGGCACCTCCTTTTTTTTTTTTTTTTTCCAAAACCTAGGTATCAAGCTCTTCGCGGTCAAATAATGCCATATCCCCGATTTCACTGGGAATTCTGTGATATGGAGAAGACATAACTCTGGGTCTTATCCTATGTTAATTTTAGTGATGTTCCTTATTAAATAAACTATTTTCCCCCAAAACACCTGTATTCTTGAACACTCCCACCATATATGATACTACATGCCCACCTCTCCACATCCTCTCCACATCCTCTCCAACATAACCGTGAGATTTCCCCATTCAATTTATGCTCTACATTAGGTGTGATGTGCCATCTGATCAAACACTTATAATTTATTTCTACTTCCCTCATACTAATGTTTTCGTGAATTAATCTAAGCATTTTCC